TGCCCTGTGCCTTGTTCTTCCTAGCTATATGTGCATTGTGCTTAGTGATTATAGACTTAACATTGCTCATGCAGCTATAACTTACTTTTACTGTATTTCTGTTAAAGATCTTATGCAGCTTGTGGTGCGAAGGAAAGTGCTTGTCGATAAGCTTAAGAAAATTACGCCCTATATTAGTGCTGACATTCATGCTAAATGGTGGGTTGAACCAAATGATATTACATTGCCTATTTCTGCGTGCTTGCTGTGGGTGCATGTTGAGTGTAGTTAAGATCATGATTAAAGTTGCTATGGTCAAGTGCGTTTTGGTATGCAGGTGCAGATTCCGTAAATGTTTGCTCATCTGATGAAAGCATTGCAATGCGATTGTTAACTGATTTAGGAAGCTGCCTTAAAATGCTAGGTGGATGGTTAGAATACCTATTTATGTATAGCGGATCGTCATTGGGCTTCCCATAGGGCCTATATTTTCCGTTGTTAAGATTGATTCCTTCGCACCACATGCTGCATAAGATCTTTAACAGGAATACAGTAAAAGTAAGTTATAGCTGCATGAGCAATGTTAAGTCTATAATCACTAAGCACAATGCACATATAGCTAGGAAGAACAAGGCACAGGGCAAGGGCACTGTCAATTGCAGTTGTCCGAAAAACGCAATATGTCCACTTCAGAAACAATGCATGACTAAGGACATAGTATACAAAGCAACAGTCACAACAAGCAACCCTAACACGATCATGAATTATATTGGCATGACATCGACTACATTTAAAGAGCGTTTGGCTAACCATAACTATACTTTCGAGCATAAAGAGCACTTAAACAAAACTGAACTTTCGAAATATATTGGCACGTTGAAAGATAGCAAGAAAGATTTCAATATCAATTGGCAAATTTTGAAACGCGCTATTTCGTATATGGGAGGATCAAAACGATGTAATTTATGTTTAGAGGAAAAATCTTGTATTTTGAAAGAAAACCAAAACTGTTTACTCAATAAAAGAATGGAAATTATATCTACGTGCAGACATAGGAAGAAAGTTCGCGTAAACAACGCAAACAACACACTCCCACAATACGATTAGGCATTTCCGCGTAAACAACGCAAACAATAGATGAATGCATGCTTTGTTTCACCCACACCCCCACGTTCCCGCCAAAACACATATAAGCCTATTCTCGAAACTTGTCATACCGCCTGATGATTCTTTACTGATGAAACAGACTGTTGCGGATTTTTGAGGCAAGCGAAATTCTACATTTGCTCTATCTTTATGATATTGAGCACTCTTTGCGTTTCGTATACACAAACCTACTCGTATATATATATATATATATATATATATATATATATATATATATATATATATATATATATATATATATATATATATATATATATATATATATATCTACGTGCAGACATAGGAAGAAATTTCGCGTAAACAACGCAAACAATACACTCCCACAATTCGATTAGGCATTTCCGCGTAAACAACGCAAACAATAGATGAATGCATGCTTTGTTTCACCCACACACCCCCACGTTCCGGCCAAAACACATATAAGCAGCTCTATTTTTCGAAACTTGTCATACCGCCTGATGATTCTTTACTGATGAAACAGACTGTTGCGGAATTTTGAGGTAAGCGAAATTATATATATATATATATATATATATATATATATATATATATATATATATATATATATATATATATATATATATATATATATATATATATATATATATTGCTTGGTTGTTGGAGCCAAAACGAGTACAGTGCTCGATGCGGGAAATTCGCAGAGCTTAATATGTTGTTCAAAATGAAAAAAATAAAAATAAAAAATTTAAAAAAATTTAATGTGCTGCTACTTAAGTTTCACGTATTACCGATCGTCAGACAGCAATAGATTATGGTGCACACGTGCTTTATATACTAAGCTACCGTGCCAATTACATAAGTTCAGTCTAAATAAAACCTATTGGGACCTATGCGAGTGTTCAACTAAACTGATTTAAAATTTAAAACTTAGTAAATTAATTCAAAACCAACTTAAAGTCTATACGTAGTTGTTAAAACCTCTCGAGCAAAAAATTATTTTATGTTATCTCGTTCTTATAATTTTGTATGTAAAATTTGTTTTCATGTCTACACTTGGAGACAAGTTCGTCTCGTGTGTTCAAGAGTCGTGCGTTTCGTCCTTTCAAGATGGCTAGCTTTTCACAGAGGCATAATCCGCATTTGTTGGATCCGTTGTTGTAAGCCTTTGCTGTGTCAATGCTTGACCAACAGATTTTGTGTTCTTTTCCTTCGTTCTTTAGATTCCACACATACTTTGACAGCGATGTTTCGTTGCTGTAATCGATGTTATTGAAAGAGCTCTTGTGTTGAGTAAAGCTTATTTTGAATGTTCGCTCAGTTAGACCGATGTAATCTCGGTTCCCTCATTTAGACCGATGTAATGTACGGTAGCTTAGTATATAAAGCACGTGTGCACCATAATCTATTGCTGTCTGACGATCGGTAATACGTGAAACTTAAGTAGCAGCACATTAAATTTTTTAAAATTTTTTATTTTTAATTTTTTCATTTTGATAATTTTTATTTTTTTATTTTCAATGTTTTCATATGTGTGTGTGTGAGCGCTCTGGAATGGTTTTGATGTCCCACAATCGTGAGGCATCAAAGGTAACTGTAAATAGCGGTTACTTTCATCCTGCTCATCAGCACTACACTAATGAGGCCCATAAGGCCGAAACGGTACCGTCTATATATATATATATATATCTATATATATCTATATATATATATATATATATATATATATATATATATATATATATATATATATATATATATATATATATATATATATATATATATATATATATATATATATATATATAAATATATGTATATATATATATATGTATATGTATATCTCGATATGGTTCGGCATATCATGATTCCATTACTATAGTGATTGAAAATAAACATGTAGAAGTTCTATATATGGATGGGCTTAAACTGAATCGCTTGGAATGGAAAAGTATAAATGGAACAAATAATGTATGGACGATAGTAAGTTCATCCGACCCAGATGCTGTTGCAGTCTGTCATATTTCTTCGGCAGTAAAATATATATATGTAAACGTATACGTATATGAGTACAATCTGCACACATAGTATACAATCCTCAGACTTGCATGTTTCGGCGTTCTACGCCTAATCAGTGCAGCTCTCTACGCACGTAACGCACGGTGAAAAATTGAACAAAAAATATTGTCCATACGGCTAGCGTCATAAGATTGCTAATTATATTCCATTTTTTCCCAGGCACATTCAATAATTATGGGAATCATTTCATTATTGGGTTTACAGCTCCATATTACAGTTATAGATATTATAATGACTATATTGGAGTATCAATTCTTGCTCCCTACGACACAAACGTTACGATCCTTGGTACTCAGTCAGGCAAGCCATGGAACTACACTGTTCATATTAAAGAAGGAGAAAGTTTTGAGTATAAACTACCGATTTCACTGCGAATGAAGAAATCAATATACCTCCAGAATGGTATTGAAATTTCATCAACGAGAGATATTTCAGTTTTGTGTTTAAATTATCAACAGGCTGTAGGCGATGCGGACGGATACTTGGCTTTACCAACCAACACGCTAGGTGTTGTTTATGTTGTTGCATCATATCAACCGTACAGTTCGGGCGATAGAGCGAATATCGCCGTAATATCTGCACATAGCAACAACACGGTTATTGTTCTTCCCAACAAGAATGCTGTCATATACTATCGTGGTCTCAGGTATGATGGCAGTACATCGCTATTATACATTACCCTGGTCCTGGAAAAACTTGAAGCACTGTACATTTCGGGTTCATCCGATTTATCTGGATCAATAGTTATCGCAAGTAAACCAGTGTCTGTCATATCTGGCATAGACCGTGTACGCATTACAGGGTATTACGCTTTTCTAGAGACGTGTCTATTACCCGTTTCATTGTGGGGATACCAATACCTCTTAACAACGGTTGGAATGTTGAATAGAAAACAGGGGGATATTTTTCGAGTCTTTGCGTATGAAAATAATACTGTCGTTGAAAGTGCGTATTGGACCAAAGTTTTGTCATCCGGGATGTATGCAGAGTTGGTATTAGAAAAAAATCTTGCATCATTTGTTAACTGTAGTAAACCATGTCAAGTCGTGCAATACATCAGAGGCGAGTCAATTGGTGGTAAATACGCTGACCCTTCAATGATAGTTTTACCATCAGTAAGCCAGTTCCTTTCTTTCTATCGTGTGGTACTTCCTTATGGTTCGGCATATCATGATTCCATTACTATAGTGATTGAAAATAAACATGTAGAAGGTTTATATATGGATGGGCTTAAACTGAATCGCTTGGAATGGAAAAGTATAAATGGAACAAATTATGTATGGACGATAGTAAGTTCATCCGACCCAGATGCTGTTACAGTCTATCATAATTCTTCGGCAGTAAAATTTGGTCTAGTCGTTTTTGGTTGGAATGGTGCTTCTTCTTACGCGTACGCTGGGGGATTTGGTTTTCGTAATTATTCAAATGGTAAGTCAGTTTATTTGAAGTTATTGTGTTCATGATTTTCTTCACAAACCGTTTCAAACCTTACAAAAATGCTGCACAGGGGCCCTTTTTCCTCTAGGTCAGCCAAATTATAGAGAATGAATGTTGCGTTGTGAAGGACATGCAACTGCCTGGAGAAACGGAACGTCGACCTTTAAAGCGAATCAATGCTCTTCGTCGGAAAGTTAGTGGCTCTAACAATATAATATTATGATGAAGCGCCTTCACTCGAAATGTCGAAGTTCTGTTGATTTTTTCAGGTCGTTTTATTTCCTTCACATGCACCGCAGCTGGCTGATACCATCTTTATTAACACTGGCGCCGTCCATTCGAAATATAGCTACGACGTGTCCTTTGCACACGATATTTCCTTCTAGTCTTGTTTGGCAAAAAGCGTTTTATTTAAGGGACATATTGCCCCGTTGACATTATTGCGGAATGGTCATTGAAACGAACAGAATCTTTTGTTACGACAGAACAATTAAGTGCGCAAAAGACTTTTTCGAAAATTGCTTTTGAACACACTTCAGAAATCTTCTTTGCGCTAACCTATGTTTGTCATAGGCGGAAATTTTTGAAATAAGTGATATCTTGATGCAGCGGTCGACACTCGTTTGTTTGGAACGTGGTTTCGCTTACAATACATTTTTCGCCTCAATATTTGAAATTTTGTATATACGGTTTAAGATATCCAGCCGAGTATTTTACGAGTTTCGAAATTATTTTCCCGAGGCGGCGGGGAAAAATGCGGCAAACGAGTAAAATGGTCGACAGGATTAAATTGCAAATCTCAAAGAATAGATCTCCTTGTTTTTAGAGCATTTACTGCATTTCGCGATGTAAACGGTAAAAAATTTCACAAGCCACAAAAAGAAAAAATAGAGAGCTTGCAAAGTTGCATATCAAATTAGGAACAACTTAAAAATGAGGTCAGCGTTCTTGAACGTGATTGGATAAAATATCGCAAAGGAAGAAAACCTGTCATTGAAGTTCAGCGAGCCAACCAAATTTCTCGTGCCATAAACAAGAAAGCTGTTTGCCTGTTTTTATTAGACTATTAAACATACCGAAATATGAACGTTATAAAAAGGAGAATTACCTGAAGAAAATGTACTTTAACAACAGATGTGAAGGTGAGAATAATTTGCCCGCAACCCGATCGAGAGACGTCTTTATTATATCACTATACTGTACTGCAGTTCTCGCTTCCTCGGCATATTCGCCATGTGGACGTGGCTCAGAATAAAAATAGCCTACAAGGTATTTTGAGGAAAACATTTGATAGTTATTTTTGCTTCAAATTGTTACGGAAATTCGATTTAGAAGTTCAAGATAGCAAACACCCAGTGCCTTACCCATGATAAACAGCGTTGTCTTAAACAGTGGAACGATTTAAAAAAAGTACTTTCAAAATGAGAAAAGCGTCTAAACCTGATAAGGGTTGTCGATGCGCGAGCGACAATGATCCAATCAGAATCCAGTGCGTGTCTTGTATCAAATAATTTATCGCTAGTCATGCTCTTCGCAAGAAGCGAGAACAAGAAATACAACGCGCGTATAAAAAACAGGACAGTGGCTTGGTAACAGCGCAGTCATGCACGAAAATTGCGTAATATTAAGCTGCGACTTTTGCTTCAGGTTTTTATCTGACCGTTACAGCAATTATATGACGAATAATATGAAAAGACCAGAAATAGCACACGGTTCGTTGTCTTGTCTTGACGTGTTTCGAGTCAATGTTCGTCGAATTTCTGACAAGGCAATGAACTGTTTATCAAACTTCTGACAGATTAATATTGGTGACACAGTAAGTAATGTGTGAATGACAAAAACGTGTATACAGAAATTTGATAGCGTTTTCGCTCGCGGTATAACATGAGCACTGGAATTAAAAGATGTGTTATGCAGTGTTTCTGAGATCAGGGGCCAGTGGGACAAAATTCTTAATTACTTTTAACATCAATTATGTAGTTAGATATATCGTGGTAAACACAAATGCGTGATTTATGATTGATCGACTTTCGCGCTTTATGTATTTGGCAACAACTGGCTCCATCCAGTATAGTTTGTTGCTTGGGAATCACGTCCGTGAAATTTAGGTCAATAAATTAAAACTGGTTTGTTTGAAATGTTTCCTTTTAGATGGAAATACAACTTTTCTATCGCAAGTGCCACCATATCAGTCCAGGATCAAGAGTGAGTATACTGTATACTTGTTAGTTTTAAATTTAGGATTACATGTATAACTAGAAATACATGCACGCAGCAACCCCTTGCTTAAACTTCCTACACATTGTTTTAACCTGAAGTATTAGTAATTGGACAACATTGAACGCAGGCTCGCGTTTGATGTCTAGTGTAATGCATGGCAACACGATCATTTTTAAATGTTTAAGTGTGTAATATTTTCTCTTATGCGCAGGCGACGTGACGTGAAAAATTGAATACGAAAATCTTGTCTTCCATACGGCTAGCGTCATAAGATTGCTAATTATATTCCATTTTTCCCCAGGCACTTTCAATAATTATGGGAAACATTTCATTATCGGGTTTACAACTCCCGGATATTACAGTAATCGATATTCTGACTATATTGGAGTATCAATTCTTGCTCCCTACGACACAAACGTAACGATCTTTGGTACTCAGTCAAGCAAGCCGTGGAACAAAACTGTTTATATTAAAGAAGGAGAAAGTTTTGAGTATAAACTACCGATTTCACTGCGAATGAAGAAATCAAGATACCTTCAGAATGGTATTGAAATTTCATCAACGAGAGATATTTCAGTAGTGTGTTTAAATTATCAACAGTATGTAGGAGATGCGGACGGATACTTGGCTTTACCAACCAACACGCTAGGTGTAGTTTATGTTGTTGCATCATATCAACCGTATGGTTCGGGCGATAGAGCGAATATCGCCTTAATATCTGCACATAACAACAACACGGTTATTGTTCTTCCCAACAAGAATGCTGTCATATACTATCGCGGTCTCAGGTATGATGGCAGTACATCGCTATTATACATTACCCTGCTCCTCGAAAAACTTGAAGCACTGTACATTTCGGGTTCATCCGATTTATCTGGATCAATAGTTATCGCAAGTAAACCAGTGTCTGTCATATCTGGCATAGACCGTGTACGAATTACAGGGTATTATGACGCTTTTCTGGAGACATGTCTATTACCGGTATCATTGTGGGGCTACCAGTACCTCTTAACAACGGTTGGAATGTTGAATAGAAACCAGGGGGATATTTTTCGAATCTTTGCGTATGAAAATAATACTGTCGTTGAAAGTGCGTATTGGACCAAAGTTTTGTCATCCGGGATATATGCAGAGTTGATATTAGAAAAAAATCTTGCATCATTTGTTAACTGTAGTAAACCATGTCAAGTCGTGCAATACATCAGAGGCGAGTCAATTGGCGGTAAATACGCTGACCCTTCAATGATAGTTTTACCGTCAGTAAGCCAGTTTCTTTCTTTCTACCGTGTGGTACTTCCTTATGGTTCGGCATATCATGATTCCATTACTATAGTGATTGAAAATAAACATATAGAAGGTTTATATATGGATAGGCTTAAACTGAATCGCTTGGAATGGAAAAGTATAAATGGAACAAATTATGTATGGACGATAGTAAGTTCATCCGACCCAGATGCTGTTACAGTCTATCATACTTCTTCGGCAGTAAAATTTGGTCTAGTCGTTTTTGGTTGGAATGGTGCTTCTTCTTACGCGTACTCTGGAGGATTTGGTTTTCATAATTATTCAAATGGTAAGTCAGTTTATTTGAGGTTATTGTGTGCATGATTTTCTTCACAAACCGTTTCAAACCTTACAAAAATGCTGCACAGGGGTCTTTTTTCCTCTAGATCAGCCAATTTACAGAGAATGAATGTTGCGTTGTGAAGGACATGCAACCGCCTGGAGAAACGGAACTTCGACCTTTCAAGCGAATCAATGCTCTTCGTCGGAAAGTTAGTAGCTCTAACAGTATAACTTTACGATGAAGGGCCTTCGCTCGAAATGTCGAAGTTCTGTTGATTTTTCAGGTCGTATTATTTCCTTCACATGCACCGCAGCTGGCTGATACCATCTTTATTAACACTGGCGCCGTCCATTCGAAATATAGCTACGACGTGTTCTTTGCACACGATATTTCCTTCTAGTCTTGTTTGGCAAAAAACGTTTTATTTAAGGGACATGCATATTGTTCCGTTGACATTTTTGCGGAATGGTCATTGAAACGAGCACAATCTTTTGTAAGGACAGAACAATTAGGCGCGCAAAAGACTTTTTCGAAAATTGCTTTTGAATACACTTCAGGAATCTTCTTTGCGTTAACCTATGTTTGTCATAGGCAGTAATTTTTTAAATAATTGATATCTTGATGCAGCGGTCGACACTCGTTTGTTTGGAACGTGGTTTCGCTTACAATACATTTTTTGTTTCAATTTTTGAAATTTTGTATATACGGTTTAATATATCCAGCCGAGTATTCTACGAGTTTCGATATTATTTTCCCGAGGCGGCGGGGAAAAATGCGGCAAACGAGTAAAATGGTCGACAGGATTAAATTGCAAACCTCAAAGAATAGATCTGCTTGTTTTTGGAGCATTTAATGCATTTCGCGATGTAAACGGTAAAAAAATTTAAATGCCAGTAAAAGGAAGAATGAACAGCTTGCAAAGTTGCATATCAAATTAGGAACAACTTAACAATGAGGTCAGCGTTCTTGAACGTGATTGCATAAAATATCGCAAAGGGAGAAAACCTGTCATTGAAGTTCAGCGAGCCAACCAAATTTCTCGTGCCATAAACAAGAAAGCTGTTTGCCTGTTTTTATTAGATTATTAAACATACCGAAATATGAACGTTATAAAAAAAGAGAATTAACTGAAGAAAATGTACTTTAACAACAGATGTAAAGGTGAGAATAATTTCGCCGCAAACCGATCGAGAGACGTGTTTATTATATCACTATACTGTACTGCAGTTCTCTCTTCCTCGGTATATGCGCCAAGTAGACGTGGCTAAGAATAGAAATAGCCTACAAGGTATTTTGAGCAAAACGTTTCAAAGTTATTTTTGCTTCAAATTGTTACGGAAATTCGATTTAGAAGTTCAAGATAGCAAACACCCAGTGTCTTATCCATGATAAACAACGTTGTCTTAAACATTGAAACGATTTAAAAAAAGTACTTTCAAAATGAGAAAAGCGTCTAAACCTAACAAGGGTTGTTGATGCGCGAGCGACAATTATCCAATCAGAATCCAGTGCGTGTCTTGTATCAAATAATTTATAGCTAGTCATGCTCTTCGCAAGAAGAGTACGTGAACAGGAAATGCAACGCGCGTGTAAAAAAGAGGGCAGTGGCTTGGTAATAGCGCAGTCATACACGAAAATTGTGTAATATTAAGCTGCGACTTTTGCTTCAGGTTTTTATCTGACCGTTACAGCAATTATATAACGAATAATATGAAAAGACCATAAATAGCACACGGTTTGCTGTGTTGTCTTGACGTGTTGCGAGTCAATGTTCGTCGAATTTCTGACAAGTCAATGAACTTTTTATCAAACTTCTGACAGATTAATATTGGTGAGACTGTACGTAATGTGTGAATGACAAAAACGTGTATACAGAAATTTAATAGCGTTTTCGCTGGCGGTATAACATGAGCACTTGGAATTAATAGATGTATTATGCAGTGCTTGTTAGATCAGGGGCCAGTTGTACACAATTTTTAACGTACTATTTAAAAAACAAGCAGGAGTGTTTTATTAGGTTTAAAGCCACGAGCGCACAGCGCGAGTGGCTTTAGACCTAATAGAGCACGACCTGCGAGTTTTTTAAATGGCTTCAAAAACTCATTAATAATTTATGAAGCAATTATCCAATCTTGAGTAAGAAATTAGTCACGTGCATACGTCTTTATACCAGCTAAAGAACACTTTAACAAAAGACCATTGTTATGCAAACTATATAAATATTTTTATATAAAGATTTTTATATAAAGATTTTTATATAAAGATTCGACTTATTATGGAAACGTTTTTGAAGCCATTTAAAAAACTTGCAGGTCGTGTTTTATTAGGTCTAAAGTCACTCGCGCTGCGCGCTCGTGGATTTAAACCTAATAAAACACTCCAACCTCGTTCCCAGGATCTCTCCTTCTGTCATCTGGGAGAGACCCTAGCTGCGGCTGGTCACGTGCCTCCCAGATTCTGGGAGGTAAATTTAATTGTAACTGTGAGAGGGGTGGGAAAGGAGCGTGTTTGTAGCGTTTTAAAATTGCAACTTTGGGTGATGAAATTTACTGTAAATTTGCAACAAGAAATCGTATTAGGGCCTGTTCATATGATCCCGCTTACCGGGACGTCTCGCTTACCGAGACGAATATTTCCGTGTGTTCATATGGAATATTTCGTCCCGCTTGCCGAGATGAAATTACATTGTAGTTCTATAATTAGCGTATGCAAAACTTCTACATTTCAGTCAAACAACACAAATATTTATGATGATGAAATTTACTGTAAATTTGCAACAAGAAATCGTATTAGGGCCTGTTCATATGATCCCGCTTACCGGGACGTCTCGCTTACCGAGACGAATATTTCCGTGCGTTCATATGGAATATTTCGTCCCGCTTGCCGAGATGAAATTACATTGTAGTTCTATAATTAGCGAATGCAAAACTTCTACATTTCAGTCAAACAACACAAATATTTATGATGATGAAATTTACTGTAAATTTGCAACAAGAAATCGTATTAGGGCCTGTTCATATGATCCCGCTTACCGGGACGTCTCGCTTACCGAGACGAATATTTCCGTGCGTTCATATGGAATATTTCGTCCCGCTTGCCGAGATGAAATTACATTGTAGTTCTATAATTAGCGTATGCAAAACTTCTACATTTCAGTCAAACAACACAAATATTTGGCGATTTTAGTGTTTTTCTTCGTTTATTTACAAGAAAAAGTATTGCTTCAGGTGGTTATTTAATACTTGTTTACAAAACAAACATAAAACCAAGTAAAAAGTGTTAAATTAAACCGGCAAGACTTGTTTCACTTCATCCCGGTAAGCGGGCTGGCGTGTTCATATGGAAAAAATTTCATCCCGCCTACCTATGATCTCGGCAAATTCAAACGAGATCTCGGCAAGCGGGCCAGCTCGCTTTCTCATATGAACACAATGCAAAATTTTATAGGAAAATAGATAGGGGGCGAGATCATCGGTAAGCGAGACGTCCCGGTAAGCGGGATCATATGAACAGGCCCTTAAAGAGAACTCTTAAATTAATATTTATATCGTGACGTTCTACTCTATAATCTGGTGTCGAGGTACAATTCAAGCAAGTTGAATCAGATTTCAATATTCAACTTATAGACTTGCCAAAGGAAGCACGCTTGCCGGCGCCGCTTGTGCAGCGTGGCGATATTAAACCTACAAGAAAATATAGATCTCTAGACCGAACAGTGTGGTTGTTATTTATTTAGTATTAATGTCTATCCTGATATTCGGACCAAAAGAATTTATTTATTGATGAGATGTGGAATTGCAACGAAATAGTGAGATTTTTTGATTTCGGAAATATCGCCAACTGTATCCAGATTGTTGATCTATATAAAGGCCTTATCAAAAAAGCTTAAAGCCCGTCAAAACACTATAAAATTGGCCCTTGGCATTGCTGAAACCAACGATCATGCATGTGGTATATGTCAAAGTATAGCTGTCTGTTGAAAATCTACGGTATTAAAATCATACACCAAAGATAAGTCAAACGACAAATTACATGTTACTATATTATATAGGCCTACTATGTCTTTCAATGAGCGCTGTTTAGTAGTGTTCACCACCCGCTTTATAAATTTTGTAAACAGCTTTCGTTTTGACATGAATAAGCTTTAATTTTTTGCTGTATATGCATTCTTAATAATACAAGTGAAATTTAAATTTTTGCTTTGACTTTGTGAAATAGAATACCGTTATTTTTTAATGGACAGCTTGCATCGTCTATATCATATCCAGGATTGCTTTTGTGTAAACGCATTATTCAGTATAATTATGACACTATCAAATAAATATAAGTAGTAAATGATTAATGAATTCACAATGAAAACTTTAAAAATGTTAGTAGAAGTAGGCTAGAAAACTCCAAAATTTATGTCTATTCGTATGATGCCAATGACGGTCTGTGCGCATCTGACACTGTAAATTTGTGATATAGATTATAGTATGTTAACACAATATAATGATTAATAGAGACCAAAAAAAGGCTAAAGTCTTACTGTAATTACCGAATACAAATTATGTACTAAATCCAGATAAACCAATGACTGAAATTTCCTCTATACTTATAGACATTTCTCTGTTCGGCTATTATCAAATGTTTACATTTGCTAATATTGGGTCAGTCCTAGACAATACTGTTTCTTTTAAAAATCGTATAAACAAGACGCGTAGTAACAAGTGACGTGAATCGGTACAAAGCGTATCAACGTTTACAAGAAAGGACGAATGTATTTTAAAAACATTACAATATTAAAAGGTTTGTTATAACCGTGCTCGACTGTGAAGAGAGCAACGCATTGAATAACAACACGAGAGAGCACGTACTGCGAGTAACGATTTGCTTTGTTTCTTGACTTGACTGTAAGTAAGAATGAAAGAATGTTCTTGTAAATTCAAAGTAAAGAAAATAAACAAAAATTAGCAAGTATTTTGAACATAATAATTCGCAAAATTTATGTTTTTAACGAATATTCCACTGGAAGCATGTTTATGTAATTCGATACTTTCCCCACACCCCGGCGCTAAATTTTTCCAGGCGCTAAATTTTTGATGAGGCACGTGACCAGCCGCAGCCAGGGTCTTTCCCAAAGAAAGATCCTGGGTACGCGAGGCAGTAAAACACTCCTGCTCGTTTTTTAAATGGTACTTCAAAAACGTTTGCATAATAAGTCAAATCTTTATATAAAAATCTTTATATAAAAACATTTATATAAAAATCTTTATATAAAAATCTTTATATAAAAATTTTATATAGTTTGCATAACAATGGTCTTTTGTTAAAGTGTTCTTTAGCTGGTATAAAGACGTATGCACGTGACTAATTTCTTACTCAAGATTGGATAATTGCTTCATGAATTATTAATGAGTTTTTGAATACTTTTTAACAACCATTATGTAGTTAGATATATTGTGGTAATCTCAAATGCGTGATTTTGATTAATCGACTTTCGCGCTGAATGTATTTAATTACCAACAACTGGCCTCATCCAGTATAGTTTGTTGTTTGGGAATCACGTCCGTGAAATTTAGGTCAATAAATTAAACCTGGTTTGTTTGGAATGTTTCCTTTTAGGTGGAAATACATTTCTATCGCAAGTGCCACCATACCAGTCCAGGATCAAGAGTGAGTATACTGTATACTTGTTAGTTTTAAATTTAAGATTACATGTATAACTAGGAATACGTGCACGCAGCAACCCCTTGCTTAAACTTTCCACACATTGTTTTAACCTGAAGTATTAGTAATTGGACAACATTGAACGCAGGCTCGCGTTTGATGTCTAGTGTAATAGCAACACGATCATTTTTAAATATTTAAGTTCGTTATATTTTCTCTTATGCGCAGACGACGTGACGTGAACAATTGAATACGAAAATCTTGTCTTCCGTACGGCCAGCTTCATAAGATTGCTAATTATATTCCATTTTTTTCCAGGCACTTTCAATAATTATGGGAAACATTTCATTATTGGGTTTACAGCACCACATTACACTTATCGATATTATGACTATATTGGAGTATCCATTCTTGCTCCCTACGACACAAACGTAACGATCTTTGGTACTCAGTCAAGCAAGCCGTGGAACAACACTGTTTATATTAAAGAAGGAGAAAGTTTTGAGTATAAACTACCGATTTCACTGCGAATGAAGAAATCGAGATACCTCCAGAATGGTATTGAAATTTCATCAACGAGAGATATTTCAGTAGTGTGTTTAAATTATCAACAGTATGTAGGAGATGCGGACGGATACTTGGCTTTACCAACCAATAAGCTAGGTGTAGTTTATGTTGTTGCATCATATCAACCGTATGATTCGGGCGATAGAGCGAATATCGCCTTAATATCTGCACATAACAACAACACGGTTATTGTTCTTCCCAACAAGAATGCTGTCATATACTATCGCGGTCTCAGGTATGATGGCAGTACATCGCTATTATACATTACCCTGCTCCTCGAAAAACTTGAAGCACTGTACATTTCGGGTTCATCCGATTTATCTGGATCAATAGTTATCGCAAGTAAACCAGTGTCTGTCATATCTGGCATAGACCGTGTACGTATTTCAGGATATTATGACGCTTTTCTGGAGACATGTCTATTACCGGTATCATTGTGGGGATACCAGTACCTCTTAACAACGGTTGGAATGTTGAATAGAAAACAGGGGGATATTTTTCGAGTCTTTGCGTATGAAAATAATACTGTCGTTGAAAGTGCGTATTGGACCAAAGTTTTGTCATCCGGGATGTATGCAGAGTTGATATTAGAAAAAAATCTTGCATCATTTGTTAACTGTAGTAAACCATGTCAAGTCGTGCAATACATCAGAGGCAAGTCAATTGGCGGTAAATACGCTGACCCTTCAATGATAGTTTTACCGTCAGTAAGCCAGTTCCTTTCTTTCTACCGTGTGGTACTTCCTTATGGTTCGGCATATCATGATTCCATTACTATAGTGATTGAAAATAAACATGTAGAAGGTTTATATATGGATGGGCTTAAACTGAATCGCTTGGAATGGAAAAGTATAAATGGAACACATTATGTATGGACGATAATAAGTTTATCCGACCCAGATGCTGTTACAGTCTATCATACTTCTTCGGCAGCAAAATTTGGTCTAATTGTTTTTGGTTGGAATAGTGCTTCTTCTTACTCGTACCCTGCTGGCTTTGGTTTTAATAATTATTCAAATGGTAAGTCATTTTATTTGAAGTTATTGTGTGCATGATTTTCTTTACAAAGTGTTTCAAATCTTACATTTAATATACTGCGCAGGTGTCTTTTTTCCTCTATGTCAGCGAAATGGTCCCTTTTCCTCTATGTCATACAATCATGATAGCTGCGCTGTGAAGGAAATAAAACTACCTGATTAATGTAAACAGATCTTCGACGTTTCAAGCGAATTCTCTTCGTCAGGAAGTTAGTTGACAATATAGCGTTAACCCACCTTTGAACAATTGGGCCCAAGAGGATTATATGTCTAACCATTCAATAGGATTTTTATTAAATGACAAACATGAAAGAATAATTTCTATGTCTTTTTTGGAAGGATTTGCATGTACTTGTCGTTGTGAACGGCAAATTATTCTCTTCGTCAGGGAGTTAGCTGACAATATAGCGTTAACCCGCCTTTGAACAACCGGCCCCAAGAGGATTATACAGTATGTCTAACCATTCAATAGGATTTTTGAATCTACTGATTTTCAATCAGTAGCTGCATTGTCAGGAACAGAGGTAGGTATATGTCGGGAAAGGCGCATTTGATGACAGATTGATGACGTATCGATGTAATGCATTGCGAGCATAAGACGAAAGTCGGTTATCTATAGTTAGTTCCGCTGTTGTCCATAAATGGTTTTGTAAATAACACGAGTACTCAATAAAATGGTTTTGTCAATAACGCGAACGGAGTGCAATACGAAGAATGCCGTATAACTGCGCGAGACGATGACGACTTTGTATCATATCTTCGGTTCAGTGCACAAAAGTTTTAGTCATTATCAAGCGAGATCGTATCAATAACACGAGTACAATAAAATGGTTTTTCAATATAAACACGAGTACAATAATGATTGAGTCGCTTTCTTTTGTTATTCAAGACATATCTAGCGTAATTACTCGTCCATCTCAAAGCCCGAGGAGGGATTTGATTTTCAGCAGGGAAGAGCGGGGCTGATATATGAATTTGAATTGCTCAATACACACATGAGGAGGTATATATCTAGTTAAATACCTCATGAATAGCTTAAAACTGGTATTTATCTAGATAAATACCTCGCTAAACTATTCATGAGGTCTTTAGATATATACCTCATGAATAGTTTAATGGTATATTATACCGAACCTTTCAAAAATAAGTAGAAAACAAATACCATTCAATTAACTTTTAATTTCAAAACACAACTTTTGATAACTTTACATTTAAAAAAGTCGAATTTCCCGCTCAAGCGTGGTATTCGAAGTCGAATACCATGGCCCCGGGTAAAACACCCAGGGTTCAAATTGCCTAGGTCATAGTATTCGCTGAAAAATACCATGGTCATGTGGTACAAATTTAGTTCTCTGATTGGACAAGCTCATTGTGAGGTATAATATAACTAGATATATACCTCATGAATAGTTTAATGAGGTATTTTTCTAGATAAATACCTCATTGAAACTATACTCATGACATAGAATAAGAAATGAATAGAAGGGCAACTCACGTGTACAACGCGTAACCAATTTTCAGTGCGCACGCGCGGGATTCTCAAGCTCGCAGTCAGTAAAGCCAGTCAGTGCAATAGGGATTTGTATTACGAAATGTACATTTTGATCACAAAATCGACTATTTTTCGGAAACAAAGGATTGGAATATCAAACTACTACAACTGCCTGCAGAGGCAATGTAAGCCTTAATTATTATTGTGGTTAGCATAGAAAGAAACGAATATTTAGGGAGAAATTTGATATTGTTGTGTGAGCTACAGTCCGAATCTGAATGAAATGCCGACAGTCGATCGCGTATACTGTGTTATTATTTCGATTTTCGAGGTTTATGTCAAATCTTATCAGTACAGGTTTTGGATTGCATCAAATTTTATTTAAAAAAGTATAAATTTCAAAGTCACGAGCAATTAATCAAATTTATTTCGTGCGGGAAGTTGTCTGTCTGTGTCTGACATGTTGAACTACAAATACAAACAATATCAGAAAATGATGTTATTTATTTATGTAATTAAAATATCATGATTATGAATTAATAAAGGAATACCGAATGGTTTTCCGTGCAGGATTGCGTGATCCGTGCACGAAGGATGTTGCGAGACTTTCGGAAAGCGTAAAAATACACGAGCCGTAGGCGAGTGTATTTTTACGCTTTCCGAAAGTCGAGCAACATCCCAAGTGCATGGATCATGCTATCCTGCACGGGAAAACCATTTGGTAATTGTTTTATAAAATTACTACAGTGAAACGACGCTTAACTTGATTAAAATTACTGATGAAATGTGCAGTTCTCGCAACATTCGTGAATTAACCAATCAGAGAATCGCTACTCCACGCTATTGAAAACAACAACATGTGTGAACAGAATTTGATCGCAAATTCGCGAAAGTATACAGCGAAAATACAGGGACTTTTTCGATAAAATATACGAAATTTGAAATGGAAAACCCGCTAAACAGACAGTCAAAGTAGTAGTGAAGATTCTCCAGCTGAATATGTGAAGATTGCGAAGCGTTTGATCTACTTTGAAGCGAGAGATGTTGTACTTTCATGCCATGGTCTGATGAATTTCAACGCTTACGCGTTGCTACTTGCTGAATAGCAATGTATCGATCAGAAATTTATTCGTACAACTAAACCAACGTCTCAATAATTGGAAACTTACTTCAAAGTCGAAAGATATCGTACAATGAAACTTTACAATGCGAGTATATTTGTAAAATTATATGCAATAATTTCTGTTCAGAATTTCCCGTGCAGGATTGTCTGATCCTGCACGGCTGTTGACCAATCAAATTGCGTGTTTCACTGTAGTTATTATATAACATTCATTCCTATTACTACAATATTACTTCGAAGACATAGAATTTTTCCAATAAATAAACCAAACTATCATATGTTAATATATTGTACTTTATACTTTGTAAGTAAACAACATGTATTAATACGTTTAAATTTCGCATTTAGCAATTCTTTAACAGCTCATAACCAACAGAAATGTATCACTAACCTTCAAATTACAACCAGCGGCCGTGGTTTGTAATTTGAATCGTTCGTTTGCGAAAAATAGTCGATTTATTCAGCCAAATGGCCATTCAGCAATACAAATCTCTAATAATTGACTGGCTTTACTGGCTGCGAGTAATTAGAGCGGGCAATTTCCGGTGTGCGCGAGGCGACATGCGCGGCTTCAAAAACTTCGAAGGTTCCGACGCGAGTTGCCCTTCTATTCATTTCTTATTCTAAGCTCATGATGTACTTATCTGGGTAAGTACCTAATGAAAGGTTAGTCTCTTTCCCAACTCGATAAAACCGTCTCCAGTCGGGAAAGAGACAACAGCCGTGTAGCTCAGAGCCCATCAAAACTCTACCATTAGGTAAGACTAGAGAGGTTAACATACCCCGGTTCCGGTTTACGGGTACGAGTATCGCCATTTTGTTTATCAATTTTTGCTGATGTCAGCAATTTTACCCGTAATTTCTACCCGTTTCCCCGCGGTAAACCATGGTCTACACGTAAACGACAAACGGGTACGGGTGTTTTCTGTTTACTATTTTTGGGCCATTTAAACAGTACAAATTTTCAATATCTTACCCAAATAAATAATGCACATATACTGGTCAAAGTTTTCAACAATTTATGGCGAACCTCAACAGCGAAAGTTGCCATTCTCTAATCGGTTTTCTGACGCCGAAGTATCTTGGATTGCTTAAGTTACAAGTTATTCTCCGATTTACGGGTACGGATACGTGTATCGTACCCGTAAACCGGAATCGGGGTATCTTAACCTCTCTAGTATCTATCATTCGGCGCACGAGGACTAGCTGGATCAACCATCGAACTTGCTTGTGCAGGGAATTTATACAGTAACATCTGCTCTTTCGATTGTGGGACGTGAAATGATATACTGCGCATGGTTAACCGCAGGGGTTTTTTTCAGGGATTTTTTTGTGCCGTTAAACGTCCCCAAAAACTCAATCTTGAATTGAGTTTTGAAACTCAATCTTCTCACCAAAGTTTCAGTGCAGTAAAAATGAAGTTGTTTGAGTTAAATTTGTGACGTGTGGAAATTAGTTTTCAGTTGGAAACCCGACAATTAAGAAAAAATGGCTGGAATTCATCTCACAACACAAGAAAAACTATGAATTCGCCATCTTTAGCCAGTTTATAGTGTCCCTTAGTGCCCCTGCTTTAACACTTTCCGTCTCAACTACATTTATTGAGTACAAGTGTTGAGCCCCCCGGTAGGAGGGGGGGGGGGGGTGCAGCCGCCCCAGCTATTCAGCTAAACTCAATCTTCTCTGCAAAAACGGACCCAAGAGAAAATCCTGAAAAAAACCCTGGTTAACCACATTTTAAAGCGTATATAGTGCGCATACTCAGCTTTGTGTTATGTCCCACAAGCGTAAGAGCTGTTTTGTGAATAAACTCCAGATCATGAAATAAGTTAGTTAAACACCTCGGGCGTCGGTATTTAGTCATATACATCCCTCGGGCCTACGGCCCTCGGTTAGACTTTCCAAAGTCCTTTCCAGGCCCTTTTATGGCGCTCTTCACTTCCTCTGTGGAAAGGACTTTTGTCACTTGCAGCGCGCCAAATATCACCGGTGGAAAAATCCACCGGTGACGTCATTATTTACATTGAAGGCCGAAGCGGTTACATTATCGGCCATTATCGAAGGAGTCTAAAAATAACACTATATTCTCAGGCTTTTTGTTGAACAAATGTGTATTATTGAAGCAAACAGAGTAAACAATGTAATTACAATTTTGTAGAACACAAAAACCATGTGAAAATATAAACAAACATTAATACATTGAGTATAATGTACAGGGTGTAGAAATAAACTTTAATACTGCCATCGAAGATGCATCTGATGATTCTAAGGGACCGGTCATTATTTATGGCGGGGGGTGGCACCGAAGAGAAAATGGTTGGGTAAACTAAATTTTGAGTAAGTAAAAGGTTGGGTAAATGAAAAACAAAACAACTCAAGGGTTGGGTAATAAAAAGTTATAGTCATATGTTAATACAATATGTGAATCAATCAGTCACTGTCTTGATCATTTTCCAATTTGTTAGAAGACAAATGATATCTTCAAAGAAAGCACATGTGCAGACAACATGATACATTAGACTGCAGCAAATTTCACAAGCAGTTATCAAACTTCTCAGTGTCACAGAAATCGGGTAAAGGACATATGTGACAACTGAATGGTAATCTTTTGTAAAGTTTAATTTTGGCCAGCGGTGGGTATTTATTTTTTACTTGATATTTGAGGTTGGGTAATCAAATTTTTGACTTTTTAATGGTTGGGTCAGCAAAATTTTTGCTACGAAAAACATTTCTCTTCGGTGCCACCCCCCACCATAAATAATGACCGATCCCTAAAATTTCCTCACTAGTTTCGGGTTTAGTTTGGGTTTCTTGATCTCGATTACTGATTATTACAAATTCGTCTGCTGAGAAAACAATGCGTATTTTTACTGGATTTTGAACTCTTGCGACGTCTTCTAGTTGATCACAATCGCCGCCTCAGTGCTTCTTGGTTACAGTTGTATGATTCTTTTCAATTAGATTAACTTCTACTACGTTAAATCGCTGGCGAACTGAATCAACTTTCTATAATACGTCTAATAAATTATTATTCTTGTCGACACGATTACGGTACACATTGTTAGACAAACAACTGTCCAGATTCAATACGTTTTTACATGCACTTGTTTCTGTTCATACATTAATAATAATAATAATGATCTTTATTCATGAATAATTAAATTACACGTTAGCCAAAGCCAGAGGCTTATATGGCTATATAAATGGACAGCCAAATTTTCTAATTACATAATTATTAAACAAGCTTTCGGTGCTTACTTGGGTCACTTATTTCGTTTCCACACTTGGTGCAAAATGTTTCATTCGACGACAAAGAAATATCAATTCTTGAAAATGTTTTTGTAGACCAATTGTCGGCGCGGTGAAGTAATTGTATAAAATGTACACACGCTTGTATGTCAAAATTATTCGCGCCAAAATTTTAAATGCGATTTAAATTCCTGCAAGCGACACAAGTCGACCACTCGCGACTTCGTCGCTCGGGTCGCGCGCTCCCTCTCCCGCGCCCTCCCTCCCCCATGGTCGACTTGTGGCAAGTCTAGCCCTCGGGATGTATATGACTAAATACCTCCGCCCTCGGTGTTTAACTCTAACATACAACTGCGTGAGCGGATGACGACTTTGTAAAAGTTCATATCTTCGACGGGTACTCAATAAAATGGTTTTGTGAATAACACGAGCGGAGTACAATACGAAGAATGCCGTATATAAACTGCTCGAGAGGATGACGACTTTGTATGTTCATATCTTCGGTTCAGTGCACAATAGTTTTAGTCATTATCAACATTGTAGCGATTGTAGGCTTTGAAAGTCAAGTGAACTGTCTGAGAGTCTGAACTCTTTCTCGACGACTTTGTACTATGTTCATATCTTCGGTTCAGTGCTAGGTTAGTTCAGTGCATGCTTCATTCGAATCAGTGAAACAATATCAACTAATTCCTCACAATTGTTTAAGTACTATTTAAAGCACGCGTAGTAGTGTTTTTTTTTTTGTAATGAAAACAATGACTCATCTTATATGAGTTCATTGGCGAAATAATTTTTAAAATAAACTTTGTCTAAACCGAGAAAATCAAAGCTAAAGTTTATGTAAATGAACATGATTTTTTATCACATATAAAGATATGACACGCTTATGATTTTTCTTTGTGTTTTCCTCCTGAATTATTAATGAGTTTTGTAAGTCATTATCAACATTGTAGCGATTTATGGCCTTTGAAAGTCAAGCGAGATCGTATATTATCAAATTACGCAATGTCTGAACAAAGATATAACTTCGGCCCCGTATCTTCATTGCAATATTCTTGTTCGAATCATTATCAATAACTACTGTGTGGAGTGTTTATATTTTCGAGATTGTATTTTCAAATTTCTATCTTTTAGTTTTATCACGGTATATAAAAATTTCCGATTTGAGCTGACTGTTAGCTAACAACAACAATAAACTTGCAATCCCAACCGGAAATACAATTTTAAAACGTCAACAATGCGACGTTTGCACGTTGTGCTTGTGTTATGACTTAGATTGCAGATCTATGCTTTTATCTGCTCAATGCCTTTTATTTCCCAGTGCTACTATTCTATTCAGTAGATGCATATCCGCCACAGCGGACCTATGTTCATTAAATGACAAACATGAAAGAATAATTTCCATGTCTTTTTTGGATGGATTTGCATGTATTTGGCGTTGTAAACGGCAAATTATTTTAAACGAAACGAGAACAACAACAAAACAAGTTACGACTTGTATACTAAATTAGGAACAACCATCATCCTTTAATCTGACTGGATAAAATATTACAAATACAAAAACCTGTCAATCAAGTTTTTTTGTTTTCTTTGAACTGCTTAAAAAAGACAAAAACAACTGCATGTCCAACAAGAAAGCTTCAGCTTTGTACGAGCATAATATTTTACGTTTAAACGTTCCATTTACTTCAAAAACATATAATTATTTTTGTTTATGGAAACACCACGTAAGTTTATTACTGCATAGCTTTCGATCCGCACGCCCGGATCTTCATCAGTGCAAAATAATATGTGCACTGATGAGGATCTGGGCTTGTGGATCGAAAGCTTTGCAATAATAAATTTACGTGGCGTTTCCACAAACAAAAAGTATTAGCCTATATGTTTATCGCCGTGTAAACCTGCAAAGAACTTATTACTTCAAAAATGTTCAAGTAAGTTGTCATGATTTGTTTTCGTTGAAAAACTATTTTTTGAAATACATTTAAAAGCTCGAGCTTTTTTTATAGCATTTTTGTTACATTTTGCTCAACAAATTTAAGAATAAATATGATCGTGTTCTCATGACCTTATTTGGTAAAATCACGTCATTGTCATATAATAAATATATTTTATTGAATGGTTTAATATATTCGGCCGAGTAATTTTACGAACATATTTCTCCGAGCCAGCGATAAAAAATGCGATGAACGATAAAATGGTCGGCAGGAATATAATTATTACAAACTTAAAAAAATAGAGTCCTTGTTATTGGACGAATTACTGCACTTAGCGGTGTAAACAGTAAAGAATTTCTTATGCGATAGAAACAAAAATGGACAGGTTGCGATGTTGGGTAAGAAATTAGGAACAATTTAGCAATGACGTCATCGTTCTTCAATTTGATTGGATAAAATATCGCAAACAAAGAAAAGCTGTCAATCGAGTTTAATGAACCAACTAAATTTTCTTTTGCTACAAACTTTTAAGTTTGCCTATTTTGAGTAGATTATAAAGTGCCGATTAAACGTTATTATAATATAAAAGAGAATTAAATGAAGAAAATGTACCTCAAAACGACAGATTTTTATTCTAAAGAGTGAAGATTAGCATCATTTTCCGCAACCTGATTTAGAGACGTCTCTATTATAATATTACTACTGCAGTTCTCGTTTGTTCGAAATACAAGGTATATTCGCGAAACGTTTTAAAGTTATATTTGCTTCAAATTGTTACGGGAATTGGATTTAGAAGTTCGAATAGCAAACACCCAGTGTCTTGTCCGTGATAAACAATGTTGTCTTTAAAGGACAATGGCAACAAAATTTGTGATTGTCTATATTAAAAGTTGTTGCTTCATCTAACTATTGATATGAAATTAATACCGTGTCAAACAGTTTTGTTCAGGAGTTATATGTATGTTATTTCACTGTTAATAAATTTATATATCGTCCGCCATCTTGGCTCATAATCCGGAAAAATTATCTTTTGGGTAACATGATCTGTATGACGTAAATGGCAGGGTAGCGTGTATCGAGATTTAATACGTTTTCTAAAAAAATGAATGCTTTTGAGTCATTGTAATGGAAAATATTCGAATTCATGAGAACCAAGCTAAGTAGGCTGGCGAAGTGTTATCATACCAACATGAACCAGAAGTATAGGAGAAAAAACAAGCAATATTTTAATTTTGAGATAGGTATTAAATAGGACCGGCCTCTACATGATGTATCTTGGACCTCAACCTCGTCCCCAGGGCCTTTTGAGGAAGGAAGCGAAGGGCAGCAAAGGCCCTGGTAAAGGCTGGTCACGTGATACTTCAAATTTTGAATATTTCAGAATATTTAACTTTTCAAACCGGGGGTGCGGGCCGCTTTGATTTTAACGCTTGAATTACATCTCAGAAACTGTGTTGGAAATTTAAATGCTGATCCATTACATATAGATTACCGTTTTACATCGTTGTATAAAACATTTTGATCGCATGTAATTATTTCTCAGCCCAGAGACATAGCCCAAAGACTTGACATGGACGTCCTTGTAATTTTATAGAGATAGATCCAGAACTAAGGATATTAGGAGGAATTATCTGCATGTACCTTCTCAAAGTTGTAGACAAGATATATTGTTTACGTCCAACACGCATAAGATTGCGTAACTCAAAAAGATTCGAGCAAAACCGGTCATTTGTTAAGAGGAAGAATGGTTAATAGAAATTGGTCCTTTTGAGTGACATAATCGTGTATTTTCATCGCGCGATCCCTGTCGTTTAACAATGAAAAACTTTGCTGTGAAATTAGTAAAACGGAGTTTAAAGTGGGAACTTTTCGGATTTGAACTCAGCGTGTTCGAAAGTGTTAGTTCCTGTAAAAATATTTCAGATCTAAGATAAGCTTAATGAAAATCGTTTTCTAGGCACTTTTTGAGGTCACAACACACGGACTATTTCAAAGATTTCAAAGTTGACAGCCAGTGAATTCTGACAAAAGATTCTAAAATGCTTCGTCTGAGGCTGGGGTGCCTTACGATATTATTATCCACTGCAACATTGTTCCAATTCGTTGAATGATTTTTGTATTTAATAATGATACTAACACTACTTTGAAACATTAAATACTCAGTAGAATTTTTTATTTCAATGCAAATTATTTTTATATTTCTGCAACAGAGCATGTATGCACGTACATACATACATAAATGTATACAGCTATTTCAATTAAGGTTGTCCTCCGAGCAAAGCGGAAAAGTCGAATACGAGCGGGAAAGGCTGCTGGGAATCGCTAATAAATTCATTCATTTATTAGTGATTCCCACCAGCCTTTCGCGCTCGTATTCGACTTTTCCGCTTTGCTCGGGGGACAACCTTAATTGAAATAGCTGTATGCTATACATACATACATACATTTGGAATATATGTATGACATGTACAGCAAAACTACTCAATAACCGGAGTCAATGTCTAAGCGTGTAATATATTCAGTATTGTTTATAATATATTCAGTAGATTTGTATGTTTGTAATTACAGTATAAATACTAGTCTCATTAAATGTTTATAGTCGTTTGTGCTTATACTGTTAATACACGCGTTGTCTGTGATTATTATCACATTGTGTCAGGGGTAGAAAATGGAGAGATTTGTAAGGCCGCCGCCTGAGATGAATTTCTCAGACATAGAACAGAACAGATAGATCTTGCTGATGCTTTTCAATAGATAATCGGACAGGACGGCCGCGATATCTACAATACGATGGCGTTTACAGAGCGTGAAGTCAACAAAATTGATATCTTGCATGTTCGCTAAATTTGAAGAGTATTGTAAGCCGAGAAAAAACATTATCATGAAAAGATATAAATTCAATCCTCGAGTCCAACGAAAAGACGAGACAGCCGATCAATATGTTACAGAATTGAAGCTCATTGCGAAGAATTGTAATTTTGGCAGCTTAGAAGACGAGTTAATTCGAGATCGCTTTGTGTATGGTACCAACTCGGAGCGAATAAAAGAGCGACTATTACGCGGAGAAGAAGAATTGACTTTGGTCAAAGCTTTAATTAAAGATTTGTCGGGCAGATGAACAGTCTATACAGTAACAAACAATTAAAAGCGATGAATGGAGAAAACGAAGTCCATACAATTAGCCGAAATCATATTGGGGGCGGGAAACTCGTCTTAAGGCGGATTTCCAGTCCTCGCACGAAGCTCCTCGTAGCTCGCTGCGAGTGCATGCATGAGCATTTTCATCCAATCACAATGCTAAACAGTTAATTTTAATTAGATGTAAGCACTCGCAGCGAGCTGCGAGGAGCTTCGTGCGAGGACTGGAAATCCGCCTTTAGACGGGAAACTCGTCTGTCAAAACCCGTCTGAATATGAATTTAGGGACGGATAAATTCGAATTTAAGACGAGTTTCCCGTTCAGAGGGGATTCCGGTCTAACTTTCCCATCCGTTTGGACGAGTAAGTTAGACGGGAAAGTTCAGACGGGAAACTCGTCTGCCCCCGGATTCATATTGGACTAGTTTCCCGTCTAAGACGAGTTTCTTGTCTAGCTCTAATATGAATTCAGCTAACTAGAAAACACATGCATGCAGCAACTCCTCGCCTTTCTTAACAGATGAAGTATAAAAACTCCACATAAAGCAGCCTAGACCTAGGCCTTCTAGTCTTATTTATATTTTTTAGTATTCAGCGGTTTTTCACATGAAAAGACTGGGACTAGGTGATTTGGGGGCGGGGCGAAGGAAGCAAGCCTAGAAGGCCTAGTTGATTTCCCAACAACAAGGCCAAAACTGCCCTGAAACTGCCCTGGTTGCGAAATGCCCAATTATTGCGTTCTCAAACAGAATTATTTGCAACTTAACGGCGAATTTAAACCGATACAGGTAAAATAAACTCATTTATAGTATAAACTTACTATTTTTATTTGTATACACGTCTAGAAAATCGGGTTTTTATCATAAAGTTCGAAGCAACACTATTATTTAATATGTTGACAAGGTGTAGCGAAAGAACAAAATGAGTCAAAATATATACCAAAAGTAGAATCTTTCATGAAATTTTGTCTTATACACAAGTACATTAATATATATTTTCTCAATTTTGGCAAGAAGCAGTCTTGTGTTTGTAAAATATACAAAATAAAACGGATACATATATTATTAGCCCGTACAGTACTGTATATAAAAACGTACATTGTTTATACAAATGGTATATCTGTAATATTTGAACACTAATTTCAAATTCCTCATTCCCAATTCGCAAATATAGTTATTCAAAGCAAAACAGCTAGTAGATTGTCTTGCGAATAAAAGAATTATTATTTTGTGCCGTTTCGCTACACCTTGTCAACATATATAAATCGAGATATAAATAGTGTTGTTTCAAACTTTATGATAAAAAACCCGATTTTCTAGACGTGTATACAAATAAAAATAGTAAGTTTATACTATAAATGAGTTTATTTTACCTGTATCGGTTTAAATTCGCTGTCAAGTTGCAAATAATTCTGTTTGAGAACGCAACAATTGGGCATTTCGCAATCAGGGCAGTTTCAGGGCAGTTTTGGCCTTGTTGTTGGGAAATCCACTAGGCCTTCTATATTTTCGCTTGCGTCAGGCTTGTGTCCTTCCTCCGCCCCGCCCCCAAATTACCTAGTCCCAGTCTTTTCATGTGAAAAAGCGCTGAATATTAAAAAAATATAAATAAAAATAGAAGGCCTAGGTCTAGGCTGCACATAAAGCATTAAGACCATTATAAACAAACATAAAAACACAACTGATGCGCTAGCTTTATAATGAACGATAACATTCACCTCAATTTCATGCATACCAACTTGCATTAAAGAGAATTATCGGGTTAAGAACGGCTTAAAAATTTCGCAGATATGAGTAAAACCGACAACACAAAGCAAGTACGGCATGGAATTTTACTACTGAAATGTTTACACTTATCCAAACCGGCACAACAACGATTAAATTATCAACGACATCAACATCAAAACATCTAAACAATTATTATACACACTTTGTTTCACGGTTGAACAGCCACTAATTCATGAAACTGCAGGCTTATTTCCAGTTAAATAAAATCAGGATCAAAAACTGTGTTATACTTTTGTAAACTTTTTAACGAAATTTAAAACAAAAATTGCTGTAAAACAAGGCCTACTCTGGGGCGGTAAATCGCCTTAAATCGCCCAAAATCGCATTAAATCGCGGGTTAAAATTTTCAAATTTCTCTTTTTGCAATCAAAAGTTGAATGCAACATGGATATATCAAATAAGTTAATTAGGCTGACAATATTTGGCGACTCAATAGGCACCGGTCATTGATAAAGACAGAGCCTTAAATTTCTGCTTTATGCATGCAGACTTTACAATAATTAGGCAATTCTGTGATCTAAAATTAGACCCATAGATCCCAATCATGCACTACCAGCAACAAAATTCAGTTACTAGTTAATTTCATAATTGCGGTGTGGTGGCTGGGCTACAATTTATATGGACTATGGAGGCTGGGCTACAAATTAATCTATAATATACATGGCTTCTCAAAGCCTAATTGCTGTTAGAACAACAGTAGGAGGCTATATGAGAGTCAATGCATGAGTATGATTGTTGATTTATATAATTATTAATAAGTAAATAAGGTCATAATAAGATGCAATTTGGGCACTGTTGCATGTAGATCGAGCACTGCATTGTATGGTTGTAGTACTTCGACATGTGCACAGTTATACTCTAGCTTCTAGTTATATCAAACGAAAACATACGTGAGGTTTATATGAGCGAGATTTGCAAGTTTTGCAACTCTCAACTATTAAATTTTCCAGACCTGTATATAAAATAAACAGTAAAACAATGATTACATCGTACATACCATACAATTTTTGTTGTTTTTTGTTTTAAATAACAAATTTATATATGACCTAAAACCACGATGTAGTGTGCCATTTGATTAATTTTTTAAAATAATTTAGAATTCCTATACCATTTAAGTGCGATATACTTGATGTAAACATTACGGAATTACGCCGACAGTTTCCGAATGCGTGACGATACTGTTTCTGGACATAGCACTGGGATATCAAAATTTTATAAAACATGTTTGTATAGCATGAAGAAAGCACGAGATTGAAACAGTTTAAATAAAATGCAAGCTAAATAAAGAAGTGTTGACAAGATACAAAACAAGACAATTTCACTTACAAGGGTGACAAGGTAATTGATAGGATTATAGCTTATTATTTATTTACTGTATAAATACATTGTGCGTTTCTACCCCCTGTGGGTTCTACCCCCTGTGGTTTCTACCCCCTGTGCTGTGGTTCTTTTGGAAATCAAATATTATATTTTGCAATTCTATATAACTCAACCTAAATTACTAATATTAATGTTTAAGACATGTGTAGTTTAGTTATAGGTTGGCATATTGCAATTATGTACCGTACATGCCCCTTATTAAAGTAGAGTATATTTATTAACTGTTTACAATATTTTTGGTATATAATGTAGCCATGAATGACCACATGACCCCACATGGATGAAAAGTTCATGAATATTTAGCTTTATATATGATTCAGGTTAAATACAATAATTATTAACCTAGCTTAATATTACTAATGTACATATACATGTTCTAATAATTGTATTTTGCTTCATACAATGCATATGTGTGTGGAAACATTACATTATTCAGCTCACTCGCTCCCCATTGGGGCTTTTCAGTGACTGATTACATCAAGTATTATGATTACTTATGTTAGCCTAGACTGTTTGTCTTTACAACAATGAGAATAGGATATTACTTTCCTAACTGTGTGTATCCTCACCCACGACCCTGCCAATTTTGCCCTGTGGGAGGAAACCGGAACAAAATACAAAATTCAATTACCTTGAAAACACCTAAATTGCAATCCCTAAAATTTAAGATTTTTTTCTTAAATCGCCTTAAATCGCAGTGCTTGAAAGCTCCGGTTTTTAATTAAATCGCCTAAAATCGCCCAAAATCGCATCTCGAGGCGTTTAAGGCGATTTACCGCCCCAGAGTAGGCCTAAAACAGCAAAATACGTTCAAAGTACGTCCTTTCAAAATGAAAAACAATTACTTAGACAGAGCTTGTACTCGCGCATGCGCATAAACCGTCCATGACATAAACAAAATGGAGGACAACTTTGCACTCTGCTATGTTTTCACATACTCTGGTATAATTAGCCGTGCGGAATTAATACCCTCGCACGGCGCTTCGCGCCGCCGGCTCGGGGATAAAGAAACAATTTAACCGCATGGAAAGCCGGTGAAGACCAGAACAAGACAGACGGCAAGCGTAAGAATGTCGCGAAGCGTGACGACAGGCAACAAGAATTTAAATGCAAAAATTGTGGGAAGTCTCATGCATCGAAGCAGTGCCCAGCGTACGGGAAAACATGTTTCAACTGTGGAAAGAATAATCATTTTTCTAAAGTCTGTCGAGCGAAGAGGAAAGTAGATCTCGTTGAACAAGATAAAAGTAAAGAACATTTGGACCCTTTGTTCATCAGAGCGGTAAATCATTCATCAAGCAAGAGCAACAACAACGACGAAGATGAATTTTTTAAAACACTCGTGATGCAAGAGAAACAAGTACAATTCAAGATCGACACCGGTTCGCAAGCTAACAAACTCCCTGTAACAACGTTTAGAAGTTTAAAAGATGTCCAGCTCGAGATGACAGCAGACAAACTCACAAGCTACACGGGAGAACATTTGCTGGTATTGGGATAATGTTACTTGAAATGTAATGACAAAATTTTGAAGTTTTTTGTTGTTGACACGAAACAAGTACCTATCTTGGGTTTATTACCTCGAAAGATCTGAACTTAATCAAGTTGGTTATGAACGTATCAAAGCGAGAAAATACGACGGCGAAATCTGTCAATGATATGGCCAGTCAATTTCCTAAAGTTTATCAAGGGCTTGGTTGTTTGAAGAAACCCTATCATATCCAAGTGGACCCAAAGGTTACTCCAGTTGTGAGCACACTGAAGAGTCAACTGGTAGCGGTGAGAAAACGACTTAAACAATCCTTGGATGAAATGGAAGCAGATGGGGTAATCGAGAAAGTCGATCAACCAACTGAGTGGGTGAATTCTGTTGTAGTGGTAGAGAAACCTAACAGCAACAAGTTACGGATTTGCCTAGACCCCAGGTCATTAAAGGAAGCGTTCCAGGAGAGCACTACAAGATGCCAACCATTGAAGAAATAACAACTCGTGTCGTAGGAGCTACGGTGTTTTCGAAGTTAGACGCAAACCACGGCTACTGGTAAGTTGTATTAGATGACGCGAGCCAGTTGTTAACAGCGTTTAACACGGAATATGGTCGATATTGCTATAAGCGAATGCCTTTTGGAATTAATTCCGCCCAGGAAGTGTTTCAGAAGCGTATGAGCCAATCATTTGGTGATCTCGAAGGCGTAGAGACCGACGTTGACGATATCTTAGTTTGGTGTACCACAACCGAAGAACATGATCAGCGTCTGAAGAAAACGCTACAGCGGTGTGAAGAAATCAACCTTATACCCTAAACCAGAGCAAATGCGAATTTGGTACAACTGAAGTCGTGTACATTGGTCATAAACTAACCGCACAAGGGGTGAAACCAGACATGTCGAAAGTTGATGCCATCAACAAAATGCCTTCACCTACTTGCAAGAAAGATGAAGAGGGACAGTTGGGAATGGTCAACTACTTTGCGAAATTTATCCCCAACATGTCTACTATCAGTGACCCAATTAGAATCGTGATGAAGAATGACGTGCAATTCGAGTGGTGCAGCCGCCAAGAAGAATCGTTTCAGAAAATAAAAGAAATCCTCACTGCTGCGCTAGTAATAATAGCTTATTGCGACGTTCGCACAATAACTTGCCATGCCTCTTAATCAGGCCTTGGAGCGGTGTTGTTACAGGATTCAAAGCCTGTTGCATATACGTCAAGAGCCTTGACTGATGCAGAAACGAGATACGTCCAAATCGAGAAGGAACTGCTAGCCGTAGTATTTGGTTTCGAAAGCTTTAATCAGTACACCTGTGCACGACCCGTGGAAGTCGTATCATAAACCACTGGAAGCGATAACGTACCAAGAAACCTCCCCCGATGGCACCACCTTGCCTACAAAGAATGTTATTGCGCCTACAAAGATATGACTTCATCGCAAAGTACAAGCCTGGAAAAGAAATGGTACTTGCAAACACTCTTTCCAGAGCATACATTCCAAACTCAGCCAGATGAAAGCCACATGGAAGACGAAGTCCAAAATCATACTCACTCTGTCAATACCTGTCTCAACAGATAAACTGGAGAAGATTCGAGAAGAAACATCAAAAGATCCGACGATGATGGTTCTTTTGACGGTGATTCGTAGAGGATGGCCGCAGTCCAGACAACAGACTTCGCTAGAAATCCACGAGTTTTGGAATTATCGGGATGAAAATGTCAGAGATCGAGGGTGTCATTATGAAAGGAGACAGGATTGTCATATCATACGGTGTTACGAAGTGAGATCTTAGCTCGAGTACATGATAGCCATATGGGAATTGAGAAATGTCGACGTCGAGCGAGAGATATCATTTTCTGGCCAAAGATGAACGAACAGATCAACGACCTGATATCTAAGTGTGACATTTGTCAAGAACATCAGTCATCAAACCCAAAAGAGGCAACGATTGAATCCCCATTACCAAGTAGACCCTGGGAAACAGTGGCCACAGATCTTTTTCGTTGGGAACAGAAAGATTATTTGTTAGTGGTAGACTACTACTACTCTCTTTATGTGGAAGTTGCAAAGTTAGACGACACCAAAAGTCGAACAGTAATTGTCAATCACACCAAGTCGATTTTCGCTAGACATGGTATACCATCTATTGTTCGAAGCGATAACGATCCGCAATATACAGCTCAGGAGTACAGCCAAGTCTCCAAAGAATGGTTATTTGAACATCAGACATCCAGTCCTTACTATCCCAAGTGCAACGGTTTGGCAGAGAACTAATAATAATAATAATAATTTAATACTTATAGCGCGCAAATTTACATTCGAATATGATCAAATGCGTGTTACAAAGGATAGAATTTTATATAAAACCTATATTACAAGAGTAAATTACAACGGGTTCCGTATACTAAAATATATATGTACAATGTATAAAATCAATGTTAACAAGTAAAGTTAGGCATAAGCGATCCTCCTAAACAAGAATGTCGGCTTAAATAACGCCTTAAGTTTATTAAAATTCGTCTCATGTATAATTTCTCGAGGAAGGTCGTTAAATAGTTTCGGCGCTGCCAGACAGCTGTTCAGACAGTTAAAAGATTAGTGACAAAAGCTAAAGCGGATGGTAAAGATCCTTATTTGAGTCTTCTTGAATATCGGAACACACCAATCGACGATGTTGGTTCTCCATCACAATTGCTGATGAGTCGCCGACTTCAGTCTATTCTACCGACAACCACAAGTCAATTACAACCGCAGATTGTCAATCCAAAAGTAGTTGAAGTGAAGCTAAGAAATAAGCAAGAGCATGAGAAGAGGTCTTATGATATTGGATCACCAGCTTTACCACCCTTGAAAGAAGGAAAAAGAATCCGAGTACAAGTGCGTGATTGATGGAAAGAAGCCGCACTGGATGCGAAATTGTCTACTCCGAGATCGTACAACCTTAGAACACCAAATGGACAGGAGTTTAGAAGAAATCGAGTTCATATCAGAAAACAAAACGATCCATTGAGGAAAGAGCTTTTCATTGAAGATGGAATGGTTCCTTCGGAAGCCACGATGAGCACTGAGACAACCGTGCATGATACAACAGTGCAGAGCGAGATGTTAAAGCACAGAAGTCAAGAGTGTAGAAAAAGATGTGGTCGAATGAGCAAACCACCAGAACGGTTGCAAGCAGGAACTTGAGAAGTAAACATTTAGAAGTAAAATTTAGAAGGACACAAAGAAAGACTTTATTCAATCATTAAATTTACTTATAAAACTTTAAGTAGGCTACCAAACTATTATAAAAAACGCAAAAAAGAGAGAAATTGTAATATATTCAGTATTGTTTATAATATATTCAGTAGGTTTGCATGTTTGTAATTACAGTAAAATACTAATGTCATTAAATGTTTATAGTCGTTTCCACGTGTTTATACTGTTAATACACGCGTTGTCTGTGATAATATTACAAAGCACATTTTAGGCTACAACGCAAATATGCGCTTTACTGTCGAAAACACAATCACAGACCAGTGGTAGTAAGTTGCTACACATTATTGAACCATTAATACACGTTGCAATATATCTGTAATTTTTTTGTAAACATTTTCTTCCAATTCACAACGTTGTTACAGTAAAACTTATTGGGATTTGCGTTTACCCTGCCATTTACGTCACCAAATGTATTCATGCATAAATTAGCATACGGAGCATTTTCCCAAGATGGCGAACGACTGTTAAAATTTGTTAAACATTTTCGCAAATTTTCTGAACAACTAAATGCAATGGACAAACAAAAATATGAAATTAAATATTCCATTAGTAAGCTTAATGAATACAGGCAATAAAAAAATATGTTGCCATTGTCCTTTAACAGTGAAACGATTTAAAAAAAGTAAAGTACTTGGAAAATGAGAAAAGCGTCTAAACCTAGTAAGGGTTGCTGATGCGCAAGCCACAATTATCCAATCAGAATCCAGTGTGTCTTGTATAAAATAATTTATAGCTAGTCATGCTCTTCGCAAGAAGCATGGCCAGGAAATACAACACGCACAAAGAGCTACAGCTTACAAAGAGCACAGTTGGTTGGTAACAGCATAATGATGCAACAAAATTGCGCAATATTAAGATACACAATTATATATGCCGAATGATACAGGGTGTATAAAAAAAAACGTAATCGAACTTCAGCGCGCTATTGTATCTGAATTACTCTGCGTATGAACGAGATTTTTTCACATTCGGAAAGATCATGCTTTTAGCTGTTGAATGATATCTTCTTCATGCCAAATGATAAAAAATGAGCAAATACGAATCCGCATATTTTCACCGTTGAGAGTTGGGTCTAAAACCATTGAAAATGAACCCCCTTTAGGTATTTAAGTTGATGAATTTCACTTCAATAAACGATGCACATATTCATAATTATTATTAAGTAGGAATAAATCTTAGCTAAGCTACGACACGTTCGTGATTAATTGCGTTTTCTTTTGTTAAGCATTGTTTTAATTAGGCACAGAGGTGAAAATATGCGATTTTGACTAACATTTTTGATCGGCCTCGTACATGCTTATTTTTTTTTCACTTGGTATGAAAAGCATGTCTTTCAATAGCTAAAAGCCTGATCTTTCCGAATATGAAAACCAATTGTTCATACGCCGAGTGATTCACGTATAATAGCGCGCTGAAGTTCGATTACATTTTTTTATACACCCTGTATATAGGAAACCACAAATAGCCGCAATTATAATGCCGAATAGTATACTCAGCAATTATATGCCGAATATAACATTTACAGCAATTATATGCCGAATAATGTAAAAAAAAAACCCAACTAGCACACGGTTCGTTAACAGTCTTGTGTTACGAGTCAATGATTGTGAAATTTCTGACAGGCTAATGTGGGCCGAGTCAGTGTTTATCAAACTTTTGGCAGCCTAATATCGGTGAGACAGTATGTAATGGGTGATTTGTTGTTTGAGAATCACGTCCGTGAAATTTGCGTCTACAAATTAAACTTGGTTTGTTTGGAATTTTAGGTGGAAATACATTTCTATCGTCTGTGCCGTCTTATCAGTCCAGGTTCAAGAGTGAGTATATTGTACTTGTTAGTTTTAAAGCTAAGGAATAGATATATGCAGTCACTAGAAATATATACATGCATATACATGCAGCAACCCCTTGTCTATATTTTCCAAACATTGATTTAGCATGAAGTTTTAGTAGTTGGCCAACACTGAACGCAGGTTCACGTTTGGTGTCAAGTGTCATAGCAACACAATCATTTTTGGCTTCTACTGGAACAGTAGTCACCAGATGCTGTCGACAAGAGGTTCAGATGTATGTGTGTATGCAGTCATGGACGGTTCACTTCTTCTGCGAACAGGCTCTTTGGTTTGGTTAAAGCCCGCGCATCTACGAAAGTTTCCGAAGTCTTTCCGATAAATGGTTTGAAATACGATCACTATAATATATCGTTCCTATTTCTATCGTGCGGCTTTCTTTTTGTTGGAATAAAAATATTCGCCGCAAAAATTGCAAATTTCAAGCTTCGAAGAAGTTTGTTCAGTATTAAGGTAAGCTGTTTTGAGTTTTTAGAGTATATAGTAAGCTGTTTCGAGTTTCTAGAGCATATACAGTCTCATGTATTCAATTGTCGAGATGCCGACATAAATATAAATAACGTCGTTTAATTTATCTTGTATTTTACTCATTCACTGATAATGACTATCTGGAATTTATTTTGCTTAACGTGCATTCAGTCGGGGAGAGTATATATTTTATTTATAAAGCTTCGATCACATGCAATGCGGCTATTAATATTTTATACGTTTGACCTCTCAACGACAATGCCGCATTTGTTGACGTCCTTACAATACCTTCGGAAGTGACAAATAGCAACAAATGACGATAATAAACATTTCTTTGGTGCAATTCTAGTATCAAAAAGTTAAAATGTGCACGGTATAACCATAGGATGGTTGAAATATATTATGGATTGAAAACCGAAAAATCTATTATTCCGGCGATTCCGCCATTAAAATGGCAGCCAAGCAGGTTTGGGCGCACAATGCATTGTGGTTCACAATGACTCTTCCTCCAGATATAAACACCATCCGAAATCTCGAATTTTCTATCTTTTTCATCCTTTGACTTTGTTTGCTTTTGTTTTATACATTAAAGTTATTAGTATTGTTTTCCCCGAATTTATGTTTTGTAAAATTAAATTTAAACCTTGATCTTAGAAGTTCAAAGAAGCTACAATCCTGGACAAAACATCTGCGACACTTCCAATTACTTGACAAAATGTCGTAATATTATCGTAAATTTAGTAAACCTCCCCCTTTCCCCCACCATTCAATGTTGATTGTATTCGCAGAATACGGATAAAACGTCCAACATTGTTTTGGAGGGCGGAGGGGGGGGGGGCAAACGAGTAAATTCGTTCGGTCTAAAAGGTAAAAAAAGCCACAAAGGAATGTTTTAATAGAGTGTCGCAGATGGTTTTGTCCAGGATTGTCTGAAATGAGTCTAAATTATATTCTTTTATATTTCGCTTTTTATACATGTCCTTGCCATGTATTTCGTTTATGTACATTGCGTATGACCTACTTGTGTTCATAATTACATCAAGTACCTTATTTCATTAATTAAATACGTCATGAATACCTTAGTGTTTTGAAAGGGTAATAATGTGTGGTAGAAACTTTTTGCCGAGAAAATCGCATACGATATATATTTTTTAGCAATTAAAAGCAACGAAATGTTGCGGAAATAATTGAGAAAGTAAAACTATCGCGTTCTAGTAGATATCATTGCAATAATTCAGAAATAGATATGAGTCATATTTGTTATCTGTATATTTAAATACGAGCTGCAAGACACAATAGACAGGCCTAATCTGCATGAAATACCATGTACGACTCAAAAAATATATTTCCATAAGGGTTTGTGCGACTTATATACTGATAGTTTATACATTCAGTCTATACATAAACGAATGCGTTTGTCTGTGATATCCAGTAGAACTAAGGGACAATAAATTCAACATATAGTTACGTTTCTGGTATTTACTGTATACAGGGTGTATAAAAAAAAACGCAATTCATCTTTTGTGCTTCATAACTTTCGAAATACTATTTCTAGTTAAACGCTTTTAGGCTTACTTCAAAGCCTGTTCTTTTCTCTTTCAAACAAACTATTATCCTTGTCTCCAATGCTAGTAATAATTGCACAGGAAAAGATTTAGTAAACCTATCATTTTTAGTTGCTGTTTAATTATGCAAGTTTACTATGTTATTGTTTAATCGGTTTAAATGTTAGAATTTTCTTCTTTAAACTTTAATGTTGTCGTCACTACATCTAGAAAACCACGTAAGAACAAATTAAAAGTATTTTAAAAGAGACCAGGTTGTTTGAAAATCCTAAACGAATGCTAAAAATCGTCAAAACATTCTGGTGTCCGAGCCAGAGTGTCATCGAATTGCGATGTAATGTAAACAGAAATTATAGCAATTTGATGTCAGTCAGCTTAGATAG